GGCATTCCCAAAGACCTTAGTTATATATCCTTGCCTAGTGCCAACAAGTACTGTGTAAATTGTAGGGTGTGTGTGTGTCTGTGATGGTAAATCTCAAATTTATGACTCACAAAAAGATGACCTTCAATTTTTATCTAGTGTCTGAAAAATCTTGCTTTTTTTTTTTTCTTTTGAGTAGAGAGGAAAAGAAACCGAGAGATTCTAAACAGGATGTCTAACTCTTTAAAACGACTAGTTAGTGCCCATTGATTATTCTTTGTAGTTATTTGATCAAGTTAAGAAATCATAAAATCACGTTGAAAAGAATTTGAAAGAAGTCAAATATGAAGAAGGGCTAGTTAAGTATTGAAAACTTCTTAGTTTTAAGAGGCTGATAAAAGGAATTTTTTAAAAAAAGACTCTTTACTGTTCTGAGAATTTTTTCCCTAGTTGAGGTTGAAGCCTGACCTTGTATCTTCAGGGTTTTGATTTTTCAATTAACATGCTCTTATAAAGACTTTTTAAAAATCTTGATGTGGATTAACAAATACTATTTTGGAATGTGACATGGAGGGATAAGAGTAAGCCACTCTATGGCTCAAGAACCTTCCTTGCTTCCAGCTTTTCATTTTCACCACCCAGCTGTTCGTGTATTTCCTCATAAATCAATTTGCTTATATATGAATCACCTAAAGGACCAACTGGGATGTGACTGCCACAGCAGTAGTCGATTGATACTGGTTGGTCTTCTTCCCTTTAACTAAAAGCAGAACCCAAAGCTGAACCCAAGCAAACTCTTTTTCTAAAGCAAAGCACAGCTAAGCTCTTGCCTTATTTCTAAATCTTGTATGTTTCTGAAATAATGCTTTTTTTTACCTTATGAAAAAAGCAGTTATATCTATCTCTGTATAAAAAAAATTGTCAATTAGTTACATTACTTTTTTTATCATCAGTTTCTTTTGTTCATGCTTGTGATGCTAGTTATCTGCGGAGAGTTTGGGGCCATTGATGATGGCCCTGTGGTATATATTTTAAAGATAAAAGATATCTGGGATCTCTGAATGACAGCTTGGACTCCTAAAGACTATATAATCAGAGATTGCTTGAAAGGATGTAAACCCTGTCTGACTTTAGTAGATTGCCAATAACTTTCAAAAGCAGAGAACCCACGTGCACCCCCAAGCACATGCACCCTTTTTCCTCCAGTATGTTGATTCAATCAAGTGAGAGACTTGCAAAGATCTGGGAAGGAGAGAATAGCTCTTCAGCCATTCTGCTTGAGAAAAAATTTCAAGTCCCTCTTAGATCTGTGAAATTGAGGTCACTCTCAGAGTGAAGACTGTTTGGCAGGCCGGGAAATTCTGTGTGCACCAGAAGACCTGCAGAATAATTCTTTGCTTTTATGTTGATGTGAGACAGAAATAAGTTTTTGACAATAAAATACAGATTATTTGGCATAATCTAAGCATTTATATAGTTTGATAGATTTTGATAAATAACTTCAATCGGCTCTGAGTTTTTGTCCTCAGTGTTAAGATTGGTTCAAAATGGGTTCTCTGGTTTGTGGAGATAATTTTTATGTGAGAAAACTGTACTTGGCTGTTGAATTTTGCCAAGAGTTTTTTGAATCATTTTATGCTTTTGGCAGCTGACTTGCTTGAATCCAATTGAGGGAAAAAGAAAGAGAAAACAATAACTGAAAAGTTACTAAATCTAATTTAATTGAAATGGTTGTCTTTTTTGGCACTTTTTTCCCCTAGATACAGACAGTCATTTAATTGGAACTCTAAAAATAAAGTAACTTTATCATGTAATATGCAGCATTAAGCAGTTTCATGATAGGTATAAAATAATCTCTTAATAAAATGCAAGTTTGTTCTAGAACGTAGAAAATGTTATATCTGAGCTAGCTTTTCTCGACATCAACTATTTGAGTTTTATGTCATAATTGTTGCCATTGGAAGAAAACGAAAATGCAAAGTAATTTAGGGTTCTCTTCAGGTGTGGTATTGATCTAATTCTGGTCTCTGGGAGAGGTAACAATAATTCAGGGTTTGGGATGGGGAACATGAGTCTCTGAGACACAGACAAATGTGCAGAAGTCCCATCAGCATTAATTTTTGTCAACAGTGTTAAAATGAATTGTCCCCAAGCCATGCTGGCTTTTTGGAATAATTCTTAGTTTCCTCATCCAGCCCTAGAAGAGAGTTGATCCAGGCTAGATCACTCAGGATGTCTGCTTATAATCCCAAATGAGGAGAAAAAAATCCAGATGGCAGTGGTGAATTTTTCTCCACTCATTCCCAGAATCTGTATTTCTCTGCATATGAAACTGTCTGTGTGCAAGAGGCTCTATTACATTCTTATAACTCAGAATGGGTTTCCTGAGGAGAGAGTGCTTCCTCGTGTTTAACTTTAGTGCAAAAACTACATTATTAAGCCTACAGTCAAAGATTTATTTTGTATACTCTTTCTCCCTGCAAGTGATGTTAAATAATGGTGTAAAGAATTTATGAGGAAACAAAGAAAGTTGTTCAGAAAACTGGAGTTTCCTTTGCTAACGCAGTTTGGCAATAACATGGAGCGAAATCAAAGCATCCTAGCCAAAATAAATCTGCACAATGGAGCTATCAGATATGAGGTAATAGTGTGACATGCCTGTGGGTATCAGACATTCTTGTAAAAACCACAGACCTAAAATTTGGTCCTGCACCATTAAGCCACAGCTCTGCCAAGCAACAACACAGAACACACGTTTTAAATAACTGTTGCAAGCCAAATGTAATTCCCATCAAAAACAATTAAATCTTTTACCAGAGGTCTGGGTCTGGGCAGTTTATGCCCTGAGAATCACTTCAGTGGCATAGACTCTGAATCTTATTTAAGTGTGAAAAGTAGATGGTTATTGTTCAGATCAGGAGGAAATGTCAGCTGCAAAATATAGGGCAGTCAAGTGATTTTGGTAACTTGAAGTGATATTTGTTGAGGTGAGATTTAAAAAGGGTTAGCTAAGAAACCTGTAAGTCCTTTCTGATAGCTGCATATATGGATCCTTTCCCAATGTTCATTTTTAATGATTTGGAAAATAATTCATGCTCACTCTAGGGAAGTTGTAAAGTATGTAAGAATATGTAGAATAAAATATCATTTCAGTTGCATATAACTCAGATACAAACCTTATAACATTTTATTGCATTTCGTTTTGGTCTTTTATACACACACAGACAGCTGTATCTGGGAGTATGTGTAAAATTTGGATCATTGTATGTTTTTAGTATTTTGCTTTTTAATTTTAACTTTAGTATTTCTCATCCCCTTATATATTCTTCAAAGACAAGATATTTAATCATTTTACAATATTCCATGTGTTCGACTATACCATAATTTATTGAATATATGTTCACTTGATAGGTTGTTTGCCATTTACTGCTTGTATAAACAGTATTTTAGATAAAATGTTGCTTACATCTCTAATTATTTTTCGGAAGGAATTTTACAAGTGAAATTACGGGGCACAAGGGTAGGAACTTTTTGAGGCTCTTGATATGCATTGCCAGCTGTTTTCCAGAAAAGTTATTTACTTCCACTGGCCGTATCTTTGATTTCCTTCAAAGGTGGAATTTTCTAGCTTTGAGGGCACCTGCCATTTGCTAGCAGCAAGAAACATCTTTGATGAGGGGTAGGTGTGCATAGGGAAGAACACAACACACTCTGTGGTTCATTATTTCTAAATATCAAATTAGTTATTAAACAATACCAGTGTGTGCCCTGTATGGTTTCTGGCACAAGGATACAGTATTAAACAAAAGAACCCAAACTTCTTGTCCTCAATGAGCTTACATACTACTAGGGAGAAAAATAAAACAAAATTATGTAAATTATATAGGATATTAGATGATACGTTTTATGAAGAAAAATAAAGCGAGAGAGGGAAATGGGCAGCGTGGGTGGGCACAAGGACGGAGGAGCATTGCAGTTTGCACATATTATTGAGATGTTGGAACTTTTCCCTGAGGGCACTTTCTGGTTTCTTGTATGAGATTAGTTAAAAAGTAAGCTAGAAAGCATTGAGTTCTAAAATCCAAATGAAATATTTGAGGAACTCTGGAATCTTTGACCATAACAGGTATTAAACGTCGATTTTTGTTAGTTTTAAGAAATCTTTATGTCTGTTTATTATCTTTATTCTACTTTAATTCATCTATTGAAAACAACTTAGTTGTCATGAGCAACAGGCTGAATATGGCTTTTGTATCTCTGCTTTGTTGCTCCATTTGCTTGTCTATTATCTATTCAAAGAGAGTAGAAAAGAAAACTTGCAGGTGAGATTACAAAGCAAAACTCAGCAGTATGGTGCATATAACATCACATGTAGAACAGAAGAACTCAGAACGGTTGACAATAAAATGGTAGATACAGACATAGCAGGTAAATACATAAAGCAAATATAGCAAATATCTCAAGTTTTAACCAAATAAATGAATTCGGATAAAAACAATCACATTAAATAAGACAAAGAAAGGTACTTTACAGTGGTAAAGACAGAAAAGAAAGAATAAAAATGTTATTGTACTATAGTCACAACTGTATAAATCATATGTGCATGTAAGGGCTGGAGGAAAACATGATTGATCAGAGTGATGAGGTAGATTATGGATCTTTCTTGTTCTATTTTTATTAATGCTGTCACCATTAGTAATACTAACATGATTGATTTCTTAAATTGAGCACTGATTATATATTTAGAAATCTAGAATCACTGGAATAAAATTCCTTAGACATCCCTCATTGCCAAAGAAAATACACATATCTGTTGAAAAGAGGCATTTAGATACATGAATTGTCTATTCAGAGTAGAAAAGTCTTTTTTCATTACCACCAGAATCATTTCAGCTAGATGGTTCAACAGAAACTCTTGACCCCATTTTAATTCGATTTTGATGGAATGCTGCTGTCACCCTTACAATATGCTGCTCTTTGACTATCAATTACTTAGTTATCTTGTCCCTCCATTTTTGCAGCAATATGAGAACTGGAGGCCAAACCAGCCAGACAGCTTCTTTTCTGCTGGAGAAGATTGTGTTGTCATCATTTGGCATGAGAACGGCCAGTGGAATGATGTTCCCTGCAATTACCATCTCACCTACACTTGCAAGAAAGGAACAGGTAATGATTACCCTATTAAAAATGTACCCTTAATCTGCCTTTCCTTTTTCGGGTAGTCTCAGGGAGGCTGAGCTTCAGTCTTTAAGACACAAACTGGGTATGTCATGTACATCATCATCTCTTATTGCTCTGGACTATTTCGCTCTTGCAATACAGTTGACAAGTTGGTTTTCAGTCATGTTTCACCATAGATTTCAGGTACTTAAGATAAAAGATAGCATTTATGTAGAAAAACCACCTCCAAGTATCTTCAAGAAAAACAACAGTCAGCCCAAGGACCTAACAACCTGTTTGATAAGGAAAACATTAAAAATAAATTAGCTGTCAACATTTAAAAATTGGGATATATCATAAAATATTCTGAATTTGACTGACTCTGGGTGGTGAGCACACAATGTGATATATAGATGATGCATTACAGAATTGTACACCTGAAATCTAGGTAAGTTGACTAACCATTGTCACCCCAATAAACTTTAATTAAAAAAAAATTCACACAATTAAAAAAAATATATTCTGGATTTTTTACTTAAAAAAAAAAGAACACCTGGTACCATTTGACCCATGTTCTTAGTTGTCTCTGGTTTGAAGCACTGGAGATGACAACCACTGCTCACCCTCCGCGGGGGCATGGTCTGCGGTTCATGGCAGTTCTTACGCAGAACTTCCCTGGTTTTAACTGTTTGGTCTCTGTAGGCATTTGAGTTTTCTAATCATTCTTTTAGAAGCTTATTGTGTGCTTTTAAACCATGGAACAACAAAGCCATCCCTGCATCTATAGTTGAATGCCTTCAAGATACAATCAAATAACATTTGTAGTGCAAGTTTCATAATGAGAACTGCTTCGTTGACATTAAAAGGAGAAAACTTAGAACGCTGATTTTTTTTTAAGTGTGTTGTGTTTATCATTGACCAGTATATTTGAATTTCTAAGGCACACCCTATAGACTTGTTCCTTGAACACATAGGGATTCCATAAAAAAATGTTTGAACTGTTTGCAATTGATACTGGTGTAAAAGCGTGAATATTTAGTCTCTAGACCTAGACTTTTACCGACCTCAAGTGAGAGTACAGAGTGCAAATGCAAAATATAAAATCCATTTGATCTGTCTTTGAATATAAAAACATTACAACTACAAATGCCCACTCCATAAATATTTTAGGAAAGACTCAAACATCAATAATTAGAAATGCTACTGGAATAAAGAGGACACAGATAAACAAAGCTCAGATGACACTCAACCGTTACTGGTGACTACTTTGTTATGCTCTTATCTAAAGCAGAATTTATTCTGAATATCCTTTCTAGCTGAGCAGCTTTCCTGACTACGTGCATTACTTCAGCACTTCTGTGATGGGACTTGTGAAAATAACAAATCAATTGTCTCTTTTCCCTGTTTCTAATGTAAGAAGACTCTAATGAACTGTTTGTCTTTATCCAAATGTCATGTTTGCTTTCTTAAATCTCCAAATGGTCCGTGGTGTTATGTTTTTCATTTTATGATCCAAACTGTCTTATATTTCCTTTGTTATTTTTTCCTGTAGCAGGATTTCTCAACACCAGCACTACTGACATTTTGAGCCAGCTAATTCTCAGTTGTGGGGGACTGACCTGGGCGTTGCCGAATGGTTAGCATTGTCTCTGCCCTCTGTGCACTGAGTGCCAGTAGCATTCTCCTCCACTCCACACACCCCTCCTCTGCTTTGTGAGAACCGAAAATGTCTCTAGACATTGGCAACTGTCTCTGGGGAGGGCAGCAGAGGGAGAAAACTGCCGCAGGATAAGAACCACTGCCCTGTAGCTAAAAAAGGATTCACAAACCCAGCATCACAGTTTACGTTTGCCACTGGGGAAAGAGATTTATAAAATGTTGCCTCTACCTCATTAAAGGAGAAAAAAACAAAACAAAGTGATCCTTGTGTTTTTATCTCCCTACTGTCTGATTTTTTTTATATGGATTTAAATCTTTGTGAATCACTCACTACTCTGGGGAGTTTTTTCAGAATTTTATAAATGTCTATAGACTCTTAGGAAAGATATGCATTTCTCCTTTCAGATAGTTTAGACATCTTTAAACATACAAACCTAAGTAGTCCTACTTTTAATTAAATACTTGTAAAGAAGGATTATAATATATACAAGAGATATGTTTAAAAAAAAAAGAAAGAAAAAAGAAAAGAAAGAACAACTCAGTGCACAGTATCCACACTTCTTTGGAGTATCCCGCAGGTTCCTTCCAACCCCATCCGTTTACTTCCCAATCCCAACCCCATTTCTTTAATTGCTTCCTTTACTCTTTGGTATTATTACATACGCTTGCATCTGTAATTAACAAATTATTTTGTTTTGCACATTTTTGAACTTTATATAAGTGGAATCATACTGCATGTATTTTGTGCCTTGCTTTTTTTGTTTAGCATCATGTTTGTGAGATATTTCCATGTTGATGCATGTAGCTATATTTCTTCAGTTTTACTGCTGTATAGTATTTCATTGTATGACTATATAACATTTTATTTATCTATTCTCCTGTCAGTGGACATTTGGGTTATATTCGTGTTTTTACTATTATCAACAATGTTTCTATGAACATTCTTGAACTTATTCCTGGTAGACATTTGTGAGTTTCCATAGGGTATGTTGCCAGGCATGAAGTGCTGAGTCATAGGATATATGCACCATCAATTTACTAGAGAAATGTCAAATTATTTTCCAAAGTGGTCGTACCAATTTGCACTCCCACCAGCAATGTGTGAGAGGTCTTATTGCTCCACATCTTCGCCGACATTTGATATTTTCGGACTTTGACATTTTTGCAAATCGGTGGGTATAAAATGTTATCTCATGATTTAATTTACATTTTCTTGAATACTTTTCCCTTGATATATTTTCATTCATGGCTTTTCTTTTGTAAGGCTTCTGTTCATGTCTTTTGCTTATTTTAAAAATTAGTTACTTCTCTTTTATGTATTGATTCGGAGGAGTTATTTTTATATTCTGGTTACTAATCCCTAGACAATTAGATATTTTGCAAACATCTTCTCCCAGCTTGTATTGGGTTGTAGGAAAAGTCATGACATATTTTTTCTATTTTCTGTTGCAAAAATGCATCATGACTTTTCCGACAACCCAATAGTTTGTCTTTACTCTTACCTTATGGCATTTTTTGATGAACAGAATTCTTCATTTTGTTGCATTTTCCTTCATTATTTAAGCCATTTTGTAGCTCAAGAAATCTTTACCTACCCTAAAATCATAAAGATATCTATATTGTTTTTTAAATGTTTTATACTTTTACTTTTTCTAGTTAAAAGATCTAGAATTGATTTTCCATGTATTCTCTGAGGTAAGGAACAAAGTAAATACTTTCCATATAAATACCCAATTGTCCAAGTGAAAAAGCTACTTTTCCTCACTGCTCTGCCATGTCACTTCTGTCAAATATCAAGCATATATGTGTGAATCTACTTCTGGTGTATTTGCCTGTCCTTGTCAATACCGCACTCACTGAAATACTTTAGCTTTATTATGTCTTCATATATAAATAGTTTTAGAAGACATCTGTACATTTTTTTTCCTCAGAATTACAAAGACAACTTCTAATTGGTCAACATAGCATAAAATTAAGTATAATGAATTATCTACTTGATAATTTTTAACCTTGTGTATCACTTTGGTCTCATTCTACCTGATACTTGCTAGTACCTGGACATTGGTGTAGGCTTTCCATACTAACAATAAAAGAAGTACAGGTATCCATATTGGGATTATCATTGAACCACATACATAGTGTAGTTTATTAATTAAAAATAACATTTTATTATAGAAATTTCTGCTTATAGGAATTTGTGAAGATCAAATAGTCACATGCACAAATATTTCTAATTTTTTAGTTATAGATAGTATGACTTTATAATCTATTTTAGGTTATGTCTATTTGAGTGACAATTTCTTATGTGAACGAAAAGATAATGTTTAGATTGTGTTTCATTAAAGACAGCTTTGTTTACTATGGGCCAATACATCCTATACTGTTTTGCTAAGCAGAAGTATAGTAGAGGAACTAAATATTTAAGCTAATCCCAAGTTTACCATTGTAAAAGAATATGGTTGCAAACAGCCTTCTGAGTATGTAAATAAATTTTATATTTGTAAACTTTTAATATTAGGATGTTGACATCCAAACATCTTTGTACCAAGGTTTCTGATAATCATCCTCCCATTGGAGAATTGCATTATTTCTTAAGAGAATATAGCATGTTCTTGTTGTGTGCCTTGAGGTGTCTTAGGAATTTGACAGGAAATGCTGCTTAGGAAAATTATATTTAAGTTAAATTATATTTTTATAAGCAATATATAGCAAAACAGTCACTTAATAAAAGTTAATTTTTAAAGTCTATAATTTAAAACAAATACCCCAATGTTGAATAAAACTCAAATTCAGTTGAATCAATTCTCTGCCTCTTGAATTTCAAAGTTGCAAGGTTTATTTTACTACTATTTTTTTACATTATTTACTATTGCTGAATTTGTTGATATTTAGCATTTTCATTACAAATTTAAAATAATAGTTAAATACTCCAAGATTTACCTTCACTACACTTCTCAAGAGTTGAAACTTATATTTTTAAGTTAATTACAAAATAGAGGCATGAATACTATGTCCTGACTTTCCCCCTTTTTCCATACAAAAGAGAGAAAAGAGTAAACAAACTTAAATGGAACCAGAGATATTTTATTGATACTTAAAAGTCCATATTTTTGTCCATAGTTTGGACAAGCTTTGTTCATATTTTGTGACTATGAGATTATGGCTATCTGATGTAATCTGTTATTATAGATTTTAAGTTTTTGTTCAGGGAGGTGACTCAAGTGAACCCAAGTGAAGGTGGGAAATAAATAAAAACTTGGGGATGGTGATGAAGACAATACCATCAGGCCATATGAGACAAATTCTTTTTGATTTGGAATTTTTTACAGAAAAGTGATCATTTAGCCCTATGGGTCTTTAATAAAATACAATTCAAGATGACATAATCTGAGATTCAAACTAGGCCCAGAGCCTCAATATTTAGGGTTTTTTTTCTTGAAAAATTTTAAATTGTTAATTCTCAGTGTGATCACCTTTGATGAAGTTGCTTGATTGGGTACATAAAGAGGGAAAGAGAAAAAAAGAGATGCATACTAATAGAAATATTTAGATTATTTGGAAATAACTCTATTTATTTTTCTTTAGTTGCTTGCGGCCAGCCCCCTGTTGTAGAAAATGCCAAGACCTTTGGAAAGATGAAACCTCGTTATGAAATCAACTCCCTGATTAGATATCACTGCAAAGATGGTTTCATTCAACGCCACCTTCCAACTATCCGTTGCCTAGGAAATGGAAGTTGGGCTATGCCTAAAATTACCTGCATGAACCGTAAGTGGTACTTTAGAAAGAATGGACAACCGTGCTATAACAACTACTACTAGACACTCATTTTACGGCTGCGGTATTAGTAGTTTAGGGTATGGAGCAAGTAATATTGTTGTGTTTTCTTTCTTTCTTTCTTTCCTTCCATGTAGCATCTGCATACCAAAGGACTTATTCTAAGAAATTCTTTAAAAATTCCTCATCATCAAAGGACAATTCAATAAATACATCAAAACATGAGCACCGTTGGAGCCGGAGGTGGCAGGAGTCGAGGCGCTGATCCCTAAAATGGCGAACATGTGTTTTCATCATTTCAGCCAAAGTCCTAACTTCCTGTGCCTTTCTATCACCTCGAGAAGTATTATCAGTTGGTCTGGATTTTTGGACCACCATCCAGTCATTTTGGGTTGCTGCGCTCCCAAAAACATTCTAAACGAAAGCATTGGCATTCAAGAAGAAAGCAAACGAAATGAAAGAAAATGAGGGCAGAAAGTAACCATTTCCAGCCTATCTGAGTTATTTAGTTTTCTATTTGCCTCCAGTGCAGACCATTTTATAATGTATACCAGCCTACTGTACTATTTAAAAAGCTCAATTCAGCACCAATGGCAATGTAAATAAGATGATTTAATGTTGATTTTAATCCTGTATATAAAATAAAAAGTCACACTGAGTTCGGGCATATTTAATGATGATTATGGAGCCTTAGAGGTCTTTAATCATTGGTTCGGCTGCTTTTGGTAGTTTGTTTAGGCTGGAAATGGTTTTACTTGCCCTTTGACTGTCAGCAAGACTGAGGACGGCTTTCCTGGACAACTAACAAACACAGAGCCTTGTAGGTCATTCTGTACCCTCTCGGCCGTGGGTGCAATTTGCTTTCATGTGATGCTGAAGCCCGGCTAATGGGATCCTGACAGAACGAGGGAACTGCCATGTGGGACTCTTCTTTGTTGCATTCCTTTTTCTTCACTTACGAGAAAGGCCTGAATGGAGGACTTTTCTATGACCAGGAGCATTTTTTAGGGGTCAAAGTGCTAATTATTAACTGAACCAGGTCTACTTTTTAATGGCTTTCATAACACTAACGTGCAAGGTTCCAGTTCAACACATTTCAAATGGATATCGACCTAGGGCTCTGGAGGGGGGTGGGGGGGATTGTTAAAACAACAACACACATTCAAAGAAAGAAATTTTGTATATATAACCATTTTAATCTTTTATAAAGTTTTGAATGTTCATGTATGAATGCTGCAGCTGTGAAGCATACATAAATAAATGAAGTAAGCCATACTGATTTAATTTATTGGATGTTATTTTCTCCAAACCTGAAAATTGACATAGTATGCTAGCTATTTTTCAATGTTAGCCTTTATACTTCCCTCACACCGTTTGGAACCATATAATCTAGGTACTTTGTCCCCAATTAAATAATGTGATGGATAGAATGCATCAAGTGTTTATTATGAAAAGTGTGGAAAAGTGTATAGCTTTCAGTATATGGTGTTCACCCGTTCTAAACAAGGAGCATATATATAGAAATAGTGTGGGCATTTCTGCCTGGTAGGTTGAGTGTATTTGTTGAAATGTCTCCCTATCTCTTCTCACTCGTTTTCTCCCCTTTATTTGAATAAAGTGACTGCGGAAGATGACTTTGAATTATTATCCACTTAATTTAATGTTTAAAGAAAAACCTGTAATGGAAAGAGGGCATTTAGGAGTCTTTCCTTAATTTCAGTTAGAATGACCTTGAGAAGTGTAAACAACAAATAAAGTGTAAATAGCAAAAGAGCAGCCCCAACACTGAATCTTTTTCATGAAATCCTTTGGCTTAGAAAGAATGACAGTAGCTACAATCATTCACAGTGTCTTTCAGCGAGTTCCCTTGGTTGCTGCATTAACTGTTATCCACCTCTGGGTGTTCTCGAGCACAGAACAACACTGTTGGTCTATTAGGTTTTCATTTTTCCTCTCATTACAATGCACCTAATACATTCCTGTATTTATATTATAACATGTATAGTGTAAAATGTGAATGATTGTGGGGTTTTTTGTTTGTTTTTTTTGGGGTTTTTTTGTGAATGAAAATCTAAAATCTTTGTAACTTTTTATACCTGCTTTTGTTTCACCAAAGAAACCTAAAGTCCTTCTTTTAATACTATACTGTGACTGGTCTGGTTATTTACAACTTTAAATCGTAATATGCACCAGCATTGTTTCATCCTGGTCCCATCACTGAATACAAGCTGCTGGCTTGGATGAAATAATTTTGTACTTGCAAAAATTAAGATAATAATTCTGATAATGTTTACATCTACATACTTATGGATTAATCTCAAATATGAATGAAACATACAATAGGAAAAGCGATATCCCAGATTTACCAAATGCTTTCTATGAACCAGGCCAAATGTTTTATGTGCATTATCTCCCATTAAGCCTGTGAAAGAGATGCTGTTGCTCTCTAATTGGTGAAGGAGGGATCAAATGTAGAGAACTCAAATCATTTGTCCAAAGTTGTATAATTAGTGTGTGGTGCCTATAGGCAATCTCCAGAGCCTGCATAATACTCTGAAGAAAAATATAAAATATTATGTTTCCAATTTGAGAGGTTAATTATGGGCTAGAAGATTATATCTAAATAGAGATGAGAAGATACCAGAAACATCATCCATTCCTTTATCTTTCATTCATTCACTGTCTATTAAGTACTTACTGTGTGTCAGGCACTGTACTAGGCCCTGGAGATTCAGCAGTGAATAAGCTAGACAGGTCTCTGACCACATAAATTTTTTTTATGCTTGATATAGCCTATGGGATTTATTTTATAGCCCATTAAATAACTTGATTGATAATTTGGAAGAATAAATCCATTATATGTTCTGCAGTTGTACAGAAGATATCATAAAGGATAAAGGTGAGTAGCAAATTATTTTGAGATTTCTTTCTTGGAATGTCAAAAATATATAGGAAGTTGGGCATGAGTCAATGCAGAAAAGAAGAGATTGTTTTCCTTGCTGAGCTTGTCCTTTTGCTGTGCAATCTGTCATATCTTTTACACAGAACTTTAAACAAGAATTACCCAAGAGAGTATATAAGAATTTGCATGATTTGTGCATAGATACCTTTTCAATGTTTATAAATCCAGCAAGCAAATTTTTATTGCTTTAGGTGCAAATAATAGAAACTGTTGGATGTCCCATTACCCAGAATACTGGGTCAGAATGAGAAAATTAAGGAGATTTTCACTACTCAATTCAACCAGGTTGCATATTGGGGAAAGAATGTGCCCCTACCATAGGGGACTATTTAAGAAGAGGTGGCTTCCAGGGTACCTGAAATGGAAAAGAGGTAAGAGAGATTGTATAGGAGGAATACATAATTTTAATATGATGGCAAGTAAATTGCCAATCTTAATTAAATTTTAATACATTACATTAAGTGAGAACTGGATTAGCCTTAAACTAATTGCCTAGAAGTCATATATCATGTAAAATAAAGTTATGGAGTTTGCGAATGGACAGAAAAAAATGTAATGAAGGTTCAGAGTTAATTTTGTGCATGACCTGTACATGAATGCTTGTCAAGGAAAGAACTCACAAGAAAAAATGTATTTTATATAAAGGCAAAGGATATTATTATCACATGGCTAAAGACTCAAAGATAACTTTGACTTTTTTTAAAGTGTTTCTTTTTATGTTTTCTAATATTACACATGCAGTGAAATGGTTTTTGAAGAAAAAGGCCCACAGTAATGTTTGGTACTGATATTTGTGCATCCTCTTTTTATTTTGCTGCAATTCCCATTTGCTAAACTAACCAGAATTCACCCAATGATTCTTTCCTAAAACAAGTCTAAATATAAAGTTTATAAAGGTCATTGAATGAGTCATTTAAGATTGTATAATCTTTTCCCATTATTACTCATTTCTGTATGTTTGGATCCCAGCTGGACAAGACAGAACAAATGCCAAACAAGAACAAAAATGGTTTTTGTTGAGGTGTTTACAGAATATGCAAAGCCTGGGTTTTAATTGGAATTTAATTCAGAGTTCCTTCTGAGTTCATCAAATGATCCTTGCCGAAGATTAAAAGTTTACTGCCTTCAGGCAGTAAGTCTTAAATAATTTTCGATAGTATTTACTCTACAATAAAAATTTAAAACTATGTACCCATCACTTTTTAATTTGTCAACAAAAAATTTTTCATCATAAAGTTAAACAATTTTAAAGGATGTTGCTTTTTGCCATATTTTAAATATTGCCATTCTAAAATAAACATGTAACATCACTCTTTTAAAATATATTTAGTGGAATCTAAATACCACAATGGTTTGGTACTTACTATCATCCATTTAAAAAATACTTAAAGAAAAATACTCTTTTTAACTGTCAAATATTTTATTTTTCTTTTCTTATTTTTGGACTTTTTTTTTTACTTCAGTGTCCCCCACCCCATGGAATTTTATCTAAATAGTATACATTTATATGCTTGAAAATCTTTTATTGATTAAACTATCAAACATACATCAAAGTTTGTACTTCAAAGTTAAAAATTAAGTATTTTCTTGTGAACATAAAGGTGTAAAAATTAAATATCTTCTCCCAGATTGAGTTAACATTGTAATTTGCTGATATACAGTTAATCAAAACAATATTACAATCTTTTAAAATTTTAAAAATAATTATACAAATTGTAAAATTTTATTAGAAATATATCTCGATAAAATGATTAAGGCTGTTTTCCCCAGTTTGCATTTCTATGAGTAAATATGACTTAAAATTAGAATGTGTTAGGCCATAACATAGATTCTATTCCTATTTTGTTTTTATAGATTTAAACACTGAGAAAACTTGTTCACATAAATAAATAGGTGGAAATGATAGTTTTATTATACAATGCTACTAACTTTTATTTATCTCTCTCTGAATTATATGCCAAAAATCACAGCGGTCTATCAAAATTATTTTCAGTTGCCTTTCAGCTGACATCTCAACACCTGACTTAAAAAAAAAAGGATTTCATTTGTACAGTGTCATCAGAATCATTCATTTTGATTCATCCTTTCATTTGCTTATTGTTTTTACATTCTGTGGCAATGCATTTGTAAGAGTCAGGATGGATGCGAGGTGTGCTTGCTGTGGTGGTGGTTCTTTATAAAGTGGGAAAAGGGCAATTGTCTAAAGCCTTTGGTTCTCAAAAGTTTGTCCCCGGCAAAAACGGCAGTAGCATCACCAAGGAACTTGTGAGAAATACAAATCCTCAGAACCTACCGTACTGAATTAGAAACTTGGGGAGTTGAGAGAGCAGCCTGGGTTTTCACAAGCACTCCAGTTGATTCTGATGCATTCTAAAGTGTATGAGAACTGGCGTAAAAAAGATGCAATGGTAGAACCAACAGCCCCTACCACAGACACCTCCTTACACAGATGAGTTTGAGGAAAGGGGCCAGATAAATGCCTGAAGTTCTGGAAATTGCTTCCCTTTATATGCCCACACACACGTGGAGAATCTTGAGGTTTTCCTGGAATAAGTGACCCTGAGTTTGAAGACCACAGCTTTAAGATACACACTCCTTAAAATACTTTCAGATTTTTTATACATTATCTATCCATATTTCTGAACATGTGTTCTATCAGTTGGCGATGATTACTTTCCAAACTTCAAATGGGCTTCCGGTTTTACAAGTGAGAAATGCTTTCTCTACGGGGAAAACTGAATAAAAACAGCATGATTGAAAATTATCGTTCCTTAAAGGATAGACCTCACACAAAGTTTGAAATGCAAGAATTAAGACATTTAAAACTGAAAAATAGAAGCAAAAAAAAAAGATATATTGTAATTTCCCAGCAACAGCCAACCATGAAGAGGAATTTCAAATCCAGTGGAAAGCCCTGAAAAGAGATCTAGTTGGGGGAATCTTGGAAGTGAATCAATCTCTGAATAACTCCAGTTCCTAAATCAGATCAGCCATTAGCCAGATTGAAGTCACTATTCATTCAAATATATATATATATATTACTGTGTGCCAGGCACTATGCTAGATATTGGGTATGCTGTTATAAACAAGACAGGCCAAGTCCTTGCCCTCAAGGCTCTTACAGTCTAATGGGAAAGATCAGCATTAAAGCAGGAAGCAATCCGATTTCTCAAAATGTAGTCGCTAAAGCCTCCATTCTTGGTCATCTCTTTGCTCTGCTCTCCATCTTTACCTGATTCCTTCATAACCATGGCCTTAACTACTTCCTACCTTATAACTTCCTTCACTCCTTCTTTTGTGTGATGGTTATGTATCTAGTTGTCGGAGTTCATAAGTACATTCATCTCTATATGTCCCAAATTAAACAATTATCCAACCCTCCCACGAACCATCTATACATTTTTTTTTAAACAAGGAGTCTAAAAGTTATTCTGGATGTCCACTTTAATGCCCGTATTTAATCAGACATCAAATTCTATTAATTTTAGCTCCAAAAGTTTCTCATAGCTATCATCTTCTCTCTATTCCAGATGTCCTCAATATATCATATAGTATTCCCATCTCTAGACGCATCACTTTCAAACTAATCTTTTAAACTACCATATTCTTTCAAATGTGCAAGTCAGAGCTTGGTATTCTCCAGCTCAGAATTCTTCATAACCTATTGCCTACAAAATGAAATCTAACTGGGGGGGGGAAAAAAAAAGAAAAAGAAAAAAAGCAACACCTGTTCTAGGTATTATATGCTTAAGAAGAATGGAGGAATTGATTTAGAAATCTTAAATAAACCAACCATTAAGCTTAGTTTTTCTCTTTTAATGATATCAGTGTGGCTTCTGTTCAGTGTCTGATCGAAAGCCATGCTCCTCTTGCAGCAGTTGTGCACGAGGCAGACATGGAAGACCAGAAATGCTATCTTACTGGAACATAGGTTTGCCTCTCTGGATACACTCTCCTCTCTTCTCCTGCTTGTGCCCCATGAGCTGACTGTATAGACTGTTCCTATTGGGTTCAGCCATGGGGAGCGAGGCAGGCAATCAGCGCGAGGGAGGAGAGTGACTGCAATGTGTGTGCCCCTTTGGCTTTCCCCTAATCCTGTAGGATTGCCATGGGCTGCCTGTATCCCTACAGCAGTCACTGGCTCCTAGCATGCCCCACCTCCACATAGTCATCTCTGC